AGTTTTTCTCCTAGGATGAGGAAAGAGATAAGCATGGCCCCTCTTATCACTTCTATTCAATATCATACTGGAGTTTATGCCTAGAGAAATTAGCCAAGAAAATGAAATAAAAGTACCCACATTGGAAAGGAAAAAATAAAACTCTATTTATAGAAGATATAATCTTTTATAAAGAAACTTCCAAGGAGCTCAATAAAAATGATTAGAACTAATAAACAAGTACAGCAAAGTTGCAAGATACAAGATCAGAAATCAATTGTATTTTTACACACCTGTAATGAATAATTTGAAAATAAAATTACAAAAACGATTCCATTTACAACAGCATTAAAAAGATTAAAACACCTAGGAATAAGTTTAACAAAAGCAGTTCAAGACTTGTACTCTGAAAAACTACAACAACTGTTGAAAGGATCTAAAGATCTAAATAAATGTAAAGACATCCCATGTTCATGGCTCACAAGACTTAATATTGTTAAATGGTAATACTCCACAAATTGATCTACTGATTCAGAACAATCTCTATCAAAATCCTAACTTGATATTTTTGCAGAAAATACAAGCTGATCCTAAAAGTTATATGGATATGCCAGGGACCAAAACGTTCTTGAAAAAGAACAACAAATTTTAAGAACACTTCTAATTTCAATACTTACTACAAAGCTACAGTAATTAAGACTGTGTAGTACTGGCATGAGGACAGAAAGAGAGATCAAAGCAAGAGAACCAGAGCTCAGAATTTATGGTCAGTTACTCTTATATTGACAACTGATTTCTGACAAAAATGACACAAAAATTAAATAAGGAAAAATAGTCTTTTTAACAAATGGTGGTATAACTGGATATACACATTCAAAAGAATGAAGTTGGACCCACTACCTCACACATTATGCAAAACTCAACTCAAAACAGATCATACACCTAAGTGTAAAAACTAAAACTTTCAATCTCTTAGGAAAAAAAAAGAAATAACTCTTTGTGACCTAGTTTTCTTACATATGATACCAAAAGCACAAGCAACAGAAGAAAAATAAATTGGAATACATCACGGTGAAAAACTTTGTGCTGCAACTGATACCATCAAGAAAGTGAGAAGACAACCCACAGAAAAGAAAAAATATTTGCCAATATTTTATCTAAGAGACTTGCATCCAGAATACATAAACAACTCTTATAACTCAACAGTAAGAAGACAAATAATGCAAAATATGGGCAAAGGATTTGAATAGACATTTCTGCAAGAAGATATACAAATGGCCATCAGGTACATGAAAGTATGTTCAACATCGTTAGTTGGTAGGGAAATGCAATTCAAAACTACAAATGAGCTACCACTTCATACACACTAGGATAGCTAGAAAGAAGACAGATAATAACAAGTGTTGGCAAGGGTGTGGAGAAACCAGAACCCCTGTATGTTGTTGGTGGGAATGCAGTGATATAGTCACTTTGGAAAACAGTTTGTTAGTTCCACAAAAAGCTAAATGTAGAACTAGCATATAACCCAGCAATTTTACTCCTAGAAATATGCTTAAGGGTAATGTAACTATTTGTCCACACAAAAACTTGTACACAAATACAAATAACATTCTGTACAAATGTTTGTTATTCATAATAGCCCCAAAGGGAAATAATCCAAATGTCCATCAACTAATGAATGGAGAAATAAAATGTGTATATCCATAAAACAGAATATTACTCAGCAATGACACATGCTATAACGTGGATGGCCCTTGACAACATTATGCTAGGGGAAAACATTACGCCAGTCACAAAAGAACCACATATTATATGATTCCATTTTCATGAAATGTCTAGAATAGGCAAATAAATAGAAATAGAGAGTAAATTAGTAGTTTCCTAGGGCTGGGAGATATGGAGGAGTGGGGGAATGGCAGATGAAGGGTAAACGGTGTCTTTTGGGGGCGATGGAAATGTATTTAAATTAATTGTGGCAGTGATCGCACAACCCTGTGAATATACTAAAGTTACTGAACTATATGTTAAATGGATGAATTGTAGGGTATGTGAATCATATCTCAATAAAGCTGTTAATAAAAAGAATTCTTAAATTGATCCTTCCTCACTCCTAATGCATGAATCTCCTGTTGTGAGGACAATTTAGCTTATATCCCAAACACTTTTAGCAACTGGCAGCTCACTGTTTTGTGAATCTGTTTTATTGACAGCATATCAATTACAAAGGTCTTTTTCATGTTGATCTGAAATCTGCCTCTTGTTTCATCCACCCATTGTCTTTTAAAATAACCTCCAGAGCCATCTGAATTCACCTCAGTCAGAGGAAGGGCAGCACAAAGCCCAAATCTAGTGCTCAGACATGTATTTGTCTAACAGTGTTTTAAGTAGAGATTTTAAGATAAAAATTATTGGAAGATTAGAAATCTGTACATTTTGAACTTGAATTTCCAAACTGCAACAATCAGATGGAGCCGAGAGGTATCTGCCCACCTTTAGATGGAACTTATTCTATCTAGTAAGCCACCATCCTCACCACTCCACATTGGATTTTGGAAATATGCATGCGGTGAGAGCTACAGCTATTGCCACTGATTTGAAAGGTTTCAATTTGGGAAAAAGGTTTTGAGTAGGAACTGCAAATACAGGTGCTGCCAAGAAACCAGGCATGGCTTATAAATGAGTGTAGCAGGTGTGCCTAATAGGGAGTGGTGGGGACTCTGGCTCACTAGACAGTACATAAAGGGGGAGACACAACTCAGATTAATAAACTACTTGCTTTGATATGAAATCTCAGGACTAAGACAGTTTTACCACTGAAAGTAACCAGGGGCTTCCCTGATGGCACAGTGGTTAAGAATCTGCCTGCCAATGCAGGGGACATGGGTTCAATCCCTGGGCTGGGAAGATCCCACATGCTGCAGAGCAACTAAGCCCGTGCACCACAACTACTGAGCCTGTGCTCTAGAGTCCACGAGCCACAACTACTGAGCCCATGTGCCACAACTACTGAAGCCTGTGCACCTAGATTCCATGCTCCACAACAAGAGAAGCCACCACAATGAGAAGCCCGCGCACTGCAACGAAGAGTAGCCACCACTCGCTGCAACTAGAGAAACCCTGCGCATAGCAACAAAGACCCAATGCAACCAAAAATAAATAAATTTTTTAAAAAACCTGATGAATCTCCAACATAAAGAGTTTGATTTAATTATTAAAAAAAAAAAAAAGTAACCAGAGTACTTTTTACAAATTACCAAGACCAGAAAAGTCATTCAAGAGGGAGAAAAAAACTAGGTCCACAGCCTGGCTTCAAAAAAGTAGTGGAGAGAAACTGAATAAAATTGTTTGCTAGTTGTGCCTCATGAGTTCTTTAGTCAAAGTAATAGTTACTAAGAGTGTGTGTGTGTGTGTGTGTGTGTGTGTGTGTGCTTTCAGATAAATTACATTATTTAGTATTGACCTTGTTAAAAGCCTCATCCTGTTTTATAAACTCCCAAATACTTCTCAAAAAAGAGGTTGACATAGCGTTGTCTTACTTCATCAGGTACTTTGGACGAGGATTCTGATTCTCCTATGGCCCTTTTCTGATGAGCCACTTTATGTTTCAACATCTTGTTAAATATAAAATTGATTAGAGAAAAGAAGAATACATGTGTGTTCTGTTTAACATTCCTACTATGTGTATGAAAGTGTAACTATCTTAGCTAAGTTTTATATCCAAAATTAAATTTAAAAATAATTTCAAGTTTTAAATTCATCAGAAGTAGAATAAATGCAAGGCATAAATTATCTACACTCACAAAAGGGAGAAGTGGGACAGCTGCCTGTATGTCCACCATTATTAGGGCTGACCTGATTACTCATCTAATCCCTTTGCTGTTTCCATATCCAGATTCTTAGAACCATGGTTTGGTCCTCTGATCAGCGTATAAGAAGGTGTGTAGTTTACTATTCTTTTTTTTATAAATTTATTTATTTATTTATTTTTGGCTGCATTGGGTCTTCGTTGCTGCGCGAGGGATTTCTCTAGTTGTGGCGAGCGGGGGCTACTCTTTGTTGTGGTGCGCAGGCTTCTGATTGCAGCGGCTTCTCTCGTTGTGAAGCACGGGCTCTAGGCACGCGGACTCAGTAGTTGTGGCGCACGGGCCTAGTTGCTCCGCAGCATGTGGGATCTTCCCGGACTAGGGCTCGAACCCGTGTCCCCTGCATTGGCAGGCGGATTCTTAACCACTGCACCACCAGGGAAGTCCCAGTTTACTATTCTTAAAACAAATGTATGTTCCAATGCCTTTCAGTTACCTTTTCATTAAGAAAAATGTTTGGACTTAAATTTATGACAATCTTTGCATGTTCAATATTAAAACGATCCCAGCTAGAAACAAGGTGAGCATTCCTTTTGACGGACTTAAAAAGACTAAGAATTCTAGGATGAATTAATCTACCTCACTTTTAGGAGGGACAAAGCCTTAAAACTGACCGGTAGTTTTCTGCTAAAGAATATTTGGTAAAAAGAAAATAAACAATCATTGCCACAAGTAGGGGAAAATTGACTAAAGAGGAAAGGTTGTACTATCATATTACTAGTGGGCATTATTTTCTAAAGGTCTGTCTCTCTGTCTCCTTGTCTCTCTCACATACGTACACATATACACCCCTCACTGGATGTGGCTTGAAAGGCATATTCCAATGTAAAACTTTTCTCTGAAAAACTCTGAGGCAGCTTAAATTAATCATAGCTACAGATATTTTAGGTCTGAAAAAATGCCTAATGTTTCCAAGGATAGGAAAACCAAATTAACCAAAAGTGACACACAGGCACACATCCCATGGTAATATGAAAATAACTATATCTAAGGGTAACCAAAAAAGGTTGAAATTTCTCTTCAATAGGTTTGGCATTTATCTGAATTAGGGGTCTTCGGAGAGAAGAATATACCCACTTTCCAAGGGGCTCTATATATGGGTAGGATACGATGGTAATTAGAAATAAAATTCTTATGTTCAGACTTAGTTTATAGTACCTTTACAGGAAAAGAAGCAATACTTTTCACAGGAATGTGTGATCTGTTTGGCTTTGCAGTTGGATTTTCCTTTGAAAGAACTACATCCACATGAAGGCTGTCTGATGTACATGAATTTTCTAAGAAGTTTAAAATGAACGAGAGAAAAAGGAAAAGGTAAATTTTAATGTCATTAGTCTCAGATGATGAGTTTATTTCAATCATCAACTCAAAATTTCACAATGCTTCATTTATAGGCTTGATCTATATCTATATATATATATATACATATATATTTTTTTCTTGAAGAAAACAAAATGCAAACACAAAAGGGTCCCAATAACCAACTTCAGTATAACCTAGAACAAATTTAAATAATTTATAAAGCAACTTGCTCCATGTAAGAATGCATGCAAAATACTACCATTTATTGCCTAGCATACAGAGATAAACAATATAAATGATTTAGATATCATGCTAATCGTATTATTTCATGTAAAGCTCTAGGTGATTGACTTAACTATAATTGGGAATATATGGACTTCATAAGAAACATTTTAAAAATAAGGTAAAACCCCATTTATTAAATAAGTGAGTTAAAAAAAAGAAGATTTTCTCATACCTCCTGAGGCTTTTCTTTGGGTCTGAGAGGCTGGACATGCAAATGTATTTTTTTTCTGTTCTGAAGTGGCAGCAACAAAAGCCTGCCCACCCTTAATGGCAGCCATTATCTGCACTGCCCGTTGCTGGGCCTGAAGGATTCCAGTGTGACTAATTAATGGTGGGACTGGTCCCCTGGATGGGCTAGTGATCTCTTTACTGGTTGGAACCTATAGAGCATCAACATAAAACAAAAAAATCCTGATTTTAAAAATGGATAAGATGGATAATTTTACTTTCCTTTTGCACAAAACCTCTTTGGAATTGACTACATTCACAATACTACATGTAGTCCGATACACACATAATTGGAATATTCCCAGAAATAAAAAAACTGAACAATTTAAGCATATAATTTAAGACATTTTTTCTTGAAATAACAGAGAAAATTAAATCTTATAAGAAAATGCTTGTATGCAGGTAGAAGTGATAATAAGACATATCCTAATGAAGTTATTGAAATTCAAAGTTAAGAAAAGAATCCATTAGGTAACCTGGCAGACGTATCAGGTGACCCATACAGGGAGAAATAGCAGGCTAGCATCAGACTTCTCCACAGCAACGTTCATTATGAGAAAAGAAGGGAACATATGAAAAAATGTTCAGCTTCACTAGTAATCAAAGAAATGTAATATAAACTAAGGAAATAAAATTTCACTCAGATTTACAGGTTTAAAAAATGATAATACCCATTTTTTGTAAGGTTTGTGGGAAGGGAACCCTGGAACACTGTGTAGGGCTGTAAATTGTCACAACCCTTCTAGAAGGCAATATGGTAACATTTTTGTTTTGTTTTTTTTCGCTACGCGGGCCTCTCACTGTTGTGGCCTCTCCCGTTGCAGAGCACAGGCTCCGGACGCGCAGGCTCAGCGGCCATGGTTCACGGGCCCAGCCGCTCCGCGGCTTGTGGGATCTTCCCGAACCGGGGCAGGAACCCGTGTCCCCTGCATCGGCAGGCGGACTCTCAACCACTGCGCCACCAGGGAAGCCCGGTAACGATTTTTAAAATCATAAAAATCTTTATCTTCTTTTGCCCAGTTACTTCTATTTGTGAGAATGTATCTTTAAAAAATTGCTGATGAAACCGACAATCATTTAGATATAAGAATTTGGGGGGAAGTTATATAGCACAGTAATGTGAAAACTAACCACCACATCACTTGCAATTAAAGAGAAACAAGGTTAGCCTCCTAAAAACCTTTTTCATAAGAGAGAAGGGGAGAGAAACTAGTTTATTAAGTATCTATAGTATCTGACCCCGGGATGCGCAGGTATTCACTATCTCCATTTCACAGATATGGAAAATGAAATAGAGAAACTAAATAATTTGCTCAAGCATGTTCAACTATTCTGTAAAGAACTGGAATTCAGGGTCTTATTTGCGACTTGGAAGCATAAAGTCTTTTTAAGCCATGCAGAAGATTCTGCTGTCAGTATGTACCAAGTAAAAATAATACAGAGACTAGAGCAGAGAAATGAAGTTTGTGTTAAATAGCACTTTTTAACACAAAAGTGTTAAAGGAATAATACTCGCTGCAGTGTTTGTACAGTTTCTTTACATGTCATAAAAGAACTTCAGCATTTATAATATAAATTTACAAGAGTTTCAAATTGCTTTGAAAAACTACCGTCAATTCCCCTTACTCACGCTAGTTAAGTTCTATAGAGTCCCGCAAACAATGAATTAGCAAATACTGAACCATTACAGGTGAGTATCTGGTCACAGCAGTTTCAACCAATGTTTCATAACCTTGTTACATGCGTGTTTCTGTTTAAAGATACTTCATTTAGTATATAATACTGATTCATCAACACTGAATTTGTGGTCAACAGAACTAATAGCTCGTGCCTGAACAAAGTTGTTTAACACACATTTTCTCTGTAAGGCACAGCACAGCCTTCTTGCACCAAGGAACACTAGACAGCACTATACTTGGGGACCATTTTAAATAACAAAATCACCAACAAAACACACAAAAATGCAGAAAACATGGCACCAGACAGACTCAGGTAAGGACCTTGGTTAACAGTATGACAGCTGAACAAGAAGTCAGTGTTGCCTTGTTCAAACTTAGTTGGGAACGTGCATGTTAGGCGATTCAATTCAATTTTTTTGGCCACTGCGCCTGTGCACAGAGGACCACAAAAGCATGAGTCTTGATTTTAAAGTTACAAATTAATTTTACTGAAGAGGCAAATTTGCAAATACAGAATCTGAAAATAATAAGGTTTGACCATATTAATTTATAGTTAAAAGGTTATACAAAAACAACATACCTTCTTTTAATGAAAACGTTAGATAATGGGGGAGAAAAATGAAGGTTTCAGAAAATGCTTACAAGTAGGCAAGAAATTTATTGACTGCCCACTTGTGCCCCCTAGTGGATAATAGGATAACAAGTACTGGAATATACTTAAAGCTTGAAATGACAAGGTAGGTACTTCATAAACTGCTGAGAGAGACCAGGAGGGTGGGAAGTGGGAGAGAAAGAGAAACAAAGTGACTCACATCAAACTTGGCAGTGTGTGCAATCCTCCTTTCGGTCCAGAAATGTTTTGGTAATACTGCATATCTAATTCCATTTGCTTTCCTGAAGGCTAACGGGAAAAAGATAAGACTTATCCAATTTCAGGGTAGTAAAAGCAAAGTTATGTTTCCTGAAGAGCCACAGGAATCCAAGCTACAAAATACTAGGCAAATGATTAAAAAATAATTCAGAAAAAAATAATTTAATTTGGATAATCTGACATGCATAGATTCCTATAAAAGATACCTCTAATTTGGGAAATCAACTATAAGTTACTGGACATAATACCAGGGTCTCTGGAAAATGTCAAGTCTGCAAGACATGATGGCTGGCCAATTACCAAGGTTTTGCCTTATTTTAATACATTATTAATCATAAGAAATATATATAATAGATGTTATGTATATTCTATAGAGTTTAGAATATAGAGAATATATATTTAAGGGAAACTCCTTTAGATTTAGGAAAAGAATTTTTAAAAAAGTGACCAACCTGCTTAGCAGTCTCTGCCTTATGAGCTTTGCTTCGTGTGAACTCATTGAGAATTCGAAGACATTCCTTCACAGTGTCATCAACATCAGAGGGAGTGTCATCTTCAGTACATTCCTTATCAAAATCAAATTCAACTAATCTGCTGTCTTCAAAAGTAGTGAAGTCTTGACTGTCGTCTTGTACTCTCAGAACTTTGTCTTTCACATGATTGTCTGAATAAGAGAACTGGAGTTCGCTTGGTGAGTATCGCCATTCAGTTTCTTCTTTTTGAGTATCATCAATTGTTTTTACCTGTCTTCTGCTCTTTGGATAACTTTCATTATGACTTTCCTCCTGTAGTTCTTTGTCACTGAGAGGTGCACAAGTCATACTTTCTCCTGAAATACAGACATGCTTTTCCTCACCATTGAAGCTTTCCATCTTAGAAATGGGGTTTTTGACACCACACAAGCTTATGTTAGTTTCAGTATCTAGTGAGGTTTTCATGTGTGATTTTGGTGGCTCGAACTTGTTACTGTCATCATCTCTGTGGTTAGCTGGGTTTCAGCTGTCTTTTCCTCTTCTATACCACTGATCTGAAGACTTCTCTCCTCCAGGGGCGATACTTGTATCTTTTCATCCATATTCTGATATTTAAAGCCTCTAAATGGTTTAGATTTCTTAGAAGTAGGAATGATTGGAGGTACATCCATTACAAGGTCATCTTCATCAGAATCTTGAAGATTTATTTTAATTCGTATTGGTGAAACATAAGGTCTTTGGCCCTCCAGGGACTTGTGGCAATTTCCACCCACAGATTTTTTCCAGAAGTGCTGCCTGTCAGTCTCATCCTGCTTTGCTTTAGATGCCCCAAGCAGCCCTGCAGAATAATTGAGCAAGGGATCATATTCAAGGTCAGTTGCTGGACATCTGTGGTCCATCACGTACTTTCTAGGCTGACTCTCTTTGCTCCTTGACGGTTCATTCCACTGTTCTTTTGGGAGCAGGCTATTTTCAGGAAAACCTTGTCTCACATTTGTGTCACTCAAGGAGGCCACAGGGCTTTGCGATAGCTCTTCAAGCGCTAAAGTAAACCTGGAGAGCCTCTTCCGCTTTTCTGCAACCTCAGCCTTGACTGACTCGATTTCTTTGTTGATTCTTTCCAATTCTTCCATAGTTGTGCCTAGTGTTGTTAATGGAAGATGAGTTTATCTTTAAACATCACTTAAGATGAAATGTGGACTCCACAATATCCTGGACAATGAGTTTCCTATCACAAGGACATTAACTTTTCCAAACCCAGCCTTAAATGCAGGGAATTGTTGACTAACAGGTCAGTTCCTGGAATGAGAATGTCAACGGCTATCACTGATTAAGTCTTTCAAATGTCTAGCTCATTCCCATGACATTAAAGTACATTCGTGTCTTATTACTAGAGTAACTATACATCTGTGAGATAGGCCACGTGTATACATATTAAACTGTGTCAAACATGACACGGTTTGGATATACACTATTCACCTTATTATTTACCAAGCAGTGACAGTTTGGTAATAGTTCAAATAGTCGAATGCCTCTTACACAGAACTGTACATAGTCTCACACACCAATATATCTCCTCTGTCACAAGAAAGTTTTTTAAAAACATTAGTTTTCTTAATTTAGTGGTTCTTAACATTCTCACTAAGGTCCCTGATATTCTACAGAATGCCTCAAACACCAAATTAAGCAAAACACACCCTTCCACAACCAACCAACCATTAAAAAAACCTTAAACAAAATAAAAAAAAAAAAACTCCAGACCAGTTGGATCCACACTCCTGAGGAAACCCAGGATAGCGACAAGAGATCAGGCTGCTAGTCCTGGCTCTTCACAATACCTGGCAGCTCCTTTCCTGACTTTTTACTAAGGAAATCCCCACCTCTTCCCTCTTTCCAAGATATACTTTCCTATGGAAATTATGGGATAATTTACACACTTCTTTCTTCTCCCAAACAAGAAATTTCAGATATGAGATGTCCAAATTACACTCGTTAAAACTCTGAATTTATTTTAGATAACCTACATGTTTTGATAACACACATGTGCTTCCTCTTTACACAATGAGCTTTCTCCTGGCTCACTAGCTTTTCAATTTACCATTTGTTTTCTATTAAGAAATCAACTCTATTGAAATCCAAAACAACGTGTGTAACAAAGGTGTAGGGCATTTTGATGGAGTAGGAAAAAGGCGAAGAGCAGGCACAAGAATGAGAACGATTCTATGTTCCAAACATAAACAAATGGCTCTAATTGCTTTTTAAATAAACTTGGAAAGGGGAGTAAACTCTGGGTAACCAGCTAGAAATGCATTTTGGCATAAGCTGGGTTTTATCTGGTTGCCATGATTCAGGAAAGGCTATTTAAGCAGTGCGTTGGGATGCTATTGAAAAAACAAACAAAAAGCTGTACTTTCCCTCCATGTCAGAAGTTTAAAATTTTTTTGCTCATCAGAAGCTAGATTTGGAGGGCAAATTTTGAAGTCTGAGGCACACTTACAACCTTCGCTCAGGCTACAGGTGATTGGAAACGGCTCCTTCTGACTTGTAAATCCTCTTCGCCACAACCGGGGTCCCACCCCACCCATCACCTTTCCCCAGAGCACAGGAAGCTCCTTAGAGTAATTCCATACTGGGGATGGGTGACAGGAAGCGAGGATAAAACCACACAGGACCACGCACGTGCTTCTCACTGTGCATGCCTTTCTAGGATCCCGCGTTCCCACGAGCTGGCATCACCGGTCCGCACACGCCGGTCCACAGCACGCTCCTCGCTCTGCCTCCCTGGCCACGTGACTTGGGCCCCGCCCCGCTCCCCCCCTCCGGAGCCTTGGGGGCGGGGTGGCCACCCACGTAGAGCCGGCCTGGAAGCTGAGCTATCTGTTACTGGAGCGGAGATTCTCTGCGGATGACCAGCCTAAGCCAACCATCTTCCCGAATGTCCCTGGGACGCCCCTGCTCCACGGTTTCAGGAACTGTGTGACCACCCAAAAGGCTCTCGAAGAACGTCCTCAAACAGGATCTTGCATAGCACCCTCACTGCTCGGTATATGTCGAACACACTTGACGTGGGAGGGGCGAAGTAAGAGGGACTAAGGACTAGCCCTTAAGGCTCCTGAACCTGGCTGTGCGATGCTGGGAAGATTTACTCTTGGGAACTCTTAACAACTTGGTTCCTCGTTCGAAGGCAAGTGCTTGTTTTCCTCTTGCCCATAATAGCCACTCTATAGGAATTGCCCTTAAGTAGGTAGGTGGGAGTAAACAGCCCTTTTTGAGGGCTGGGGAAGAGACAGATTATGGGCATCAGAGAAAGGAAATGCAAGGGTGTTTCGGAATGGGGGGAAACGAGTTAAAAAGGAACTGGTTTTATTTTGTCCTTTAAGAGGAAACAAACACATCAGAGGTCCAGACAACCTGTTTAGGAAATCCAGGTTTAGTCATGGGATGGAGGGTCAGCAGGGGGACAAATGAAAAGACACTCCTCCTCCCAGCACACATACACACCAGCCTGGGCTGTATGACCCTCTCCTCACTTCTAGGCTAGGGGAGGGGGTAGAAGAAAGCGAACTTCCGTAAGGACTACCTGACATTCTTCATGCCCCGCCCCCAACACCATGACTGCCCTTTACAATGCTACCTACAACGGTATCTGCAAGTTATGCCAACTGAGGATGAGAAACCAATTTAAAAAAAATATATAGTTAACATCCCTTTTGGCCCTTTTAGGCATAGTAAAGCCATATTGAGTAACTTTCTCAAGGTACAGTACATTAGTACTGGAGACAAAAGCAACCCTTACATCTCTTTCCAAGCAAGAAAATTCGTGGTCCCTTCCAAGGGTGGGTGGGGTAAAAAGGTGGGAACGGTTGGTGGCCAACCCCTCCCCAAGCCCACCTGACATTCTACCCACAAGCCTTTTCTCACCCATGGATTCAACATGGCTCCGCTGCACTCCGAGCACCTCCAAGCTGCTGCCACGAGCTGCCTCACTCAGTTCCCACCGCATTTCCCGGTGCCTGAACTGGCAGCACAAACGCTGGCACCGACCCCCGGGGCTGTCAAAAGGGCATGGAAAATGGCAAAAGTAACCCACGGAGGGTAGCATGGGCCACTGCTCAAGGCCACCTCCTCTGGCTTCGAAAATTGTGTGCACTGATGGCAAAAGCAGGCAAAGCTTAACACACACCCTGCTGCCTCTTCTCTAGCCAGGGTACCGCCTTATATAGTCCGTTGCTACTCGAAGGCGGAGCTTCGTAGCTTTCCCAGCCAATGGGGAGGTTGGGGCTGGCGTCATGGGAGAAAATAACGAGGGAGGGAATGACCCAGAGAACAGATGGTAGGGCCGCGTCAGGTGAGTGTAGTGTGTGTCTGTCCTCCATGGGGAAGAAGGTTCATAAAGACCTGACCTACAGGTAGAGAAAACAATTTCCCAAGAGCTGAAAGGACCCTTGGATTAAGGAATCTCCTGCCTTGTGGATGCCTACCTTGTTCCTAAACAACATCCTTTGACTTATAAGTTTGGCTATTAACCTTCATGGATCATGGAGAGAACCTCAGCTGTGAAGCACATCTAAACTTTGCCTCTCTCTAGCAGGTGATCTTAGGCAAGGTATCTGACTTACCCGAGTTCTCCTTTCTTGATCTATAAAATAAACTTGTCTTTCATAGGGTAGTAGAATTCAGTGTGCTGTAATGTACCAAAGTGCCTAGCATAAAGTAGGTGAGAATTTAGGAGGACAAGTTCTTCCCCTTCCCATCATCAACACATACCCACAAAGGACCTGGTACATGTCCCTAAAATCCTTCCAGTTGAAACTGATTCCTAAAAGGGAAACAGTTCCCTATTCCATTGTTCTTCTTTGTAAACTGAAATACTCCCAGGATAGATAGGCTCATAAGTCACTGATGACTTCAATTAGTCTTTGAGATGTTTGCTTTTCTTTCAATAGCACATACTGAGCCTGGGTGCTTTGGGGAAGAGAGAAGGAAGGGTCCTCCAGCTCTAAAAGATTCAGGGTCCATGGATCCCCCTCTAGGAAATTACATGCTGGGATCCCTCCTTCCTTTCTTTTCTTCTGAAAAACAATGTTATCTCAAATGGTTATGGATACTTTAGAAGGTTCTAAATCTTACTGTCCTATGAGAGGACCCTGATGACTTGGAAACAATTGAAGAATGCTAAGAGTCTCTAGTGCTAGTTTTGTCTCTTGATACGGCACACCTGTTTTGCCAGTAAAACATGAACAGGTGTGTTTTTTTTGCTTTGGTGGTGGGGAGGGGCGTAGTTAGTAGTGATTACCCTGAAAGTCCTCAAAATGCCCCCAAGTAAGGTAAAAAGCTAAATATTCTCATTTTAAAAACAACCAGCCTAGAATGAATACTTTCCTTAAGTCACTTTCCAGGATCCGTTTTACTTGATGAAGTTTTCCACACCTTATTTCCTTCTATTTTTTTCCATTAAATAGTTTTTATAGCTGAGAGATTTTTTATTGAATGTGCCCTCCTTTTAAAACACCAGAAAGTTTGAAGGTCTTAGTAGAGTTTCCAAATCATAACATGAGTGTCACTAAGATATTTTTTATGACAAAAAAATTAAAGCTGTCTATTCATCAGTGGGTTCCTCTCTCTGTTCCTCGCTCTGAAGTCTGACTCATCATTCACGCCTGTCTCATCTGAGCCTGTGGAAACCACGTCCGTTGTCCTAGATTTTGACCTTGTGTCTGATTTCCTAATTCTGAAGAAGTGGTGCCCCAAAATGTGCTGCTCTCAGCAGTCTTAGAGAAAGATGTGTCTGATGCGCCTTCTAATGGATGAAAGTAAGAAAGAGTTGCCAGCTCTGGGTTGACAGAGTATTCACCACTCTGACAAGCTTTTTTATATCTGAAAAAAAAAAATACATACATCAAAAATTGTTTTTAATTGTGTACGTTCGCAGCTTGGCTTAGAAAAGCATCTTAAAGTGATATATGAATTCTATCCAATGTATTAGCTATTTATTATAACACTATATAAATGAATGAAAAATGTTAGACCCTACACAGATGCGCTATTTAGAACAGAGGTCATAGCCCTTTTGTTTCAAGGATATTAAAAGAGAATGCATTTCTAGATTCTCTATATCCTTTCCAATTGACTAGGGTTGTTTCTATCTCTAGATGACTATTTAAAATATTGGGAAAAAGTCCAAGTGGGATATTCCCTGAGAGACAGCCCCATGCTCCTTTCCAAATAGGGGAAATGGAGCCAAAATGAATACCTTATGAACTTGGGAGTCACGTTTGCCTAGCACTCTACTAAAGAGAGCAGGTTGGGTGTTTCTTCTCATGTGTTTTAAAGACTCCAGAGGTCTGTAGACTTACTTCATTGTCTTCATTTTGTACAGCACGGCACTACAGATTGCCAAGAGGATGACAAAAAGGAAGAGAGTCATCAACAAGAGGCCCAGCATTAACTTTAATTTGGCTTCCTGTAGTTCTGCCAGGTTGTCTTCATCTGTAGCATTCACATCAGAGTCTGAGAGGAAAGAAAGAAAATGCAATGGGAAAGAGTGACTCTGTTCAGCACGTTTTCCTGGAGGAATAAGGATTGCAAAGCAACTGAAGAGAAGCCTTCACCACCCGGAGTCTTCACTGAATTCTCCCCACTACCCTCATGCAATGCAAAGGAGAAGGCTATAGGCCACTCCCTACGGCCAAGTACTCTTAACTTTTTTACCTTTCCCCTTCACAGCAATCTTGGGGGAGCTGTCCTTTGCTCCATTTTCCAGGATCACAGAAGTTTATGGATTTGCCCTGGTACATAGCTAATAAGTGGCAAAATTTGGTATCAAACCCAGGTTACCAGATGTTAAAATATGTATCAGACTTCCTCCCTGAATAAAAAAAAAAAAAAAAAACAATTCAAGACTCTGAAGAGATTACTATTAAAAATGTGATGAAATTACACACAAGGGATTAGTCCTTCAAGAGAAAAAGATGCAATTCTACTGTTGGGACATACATTGACTTTCTTTTAAGCTAAAAGGATGATGTACTACAATGCTTTCTCCACAAGGCTTAAGAACTGAATTTGCGGGCTTCCCTGGTGGCGCAGTGGTTAAGAATCTGCCTGCCAACACAGGGGACATGGGTTCAAGCCCTGGTCCCGGAAGATCCCACATGCCATGGAGCCACTAAGCCCGTGCACCACAACTACTGAGCCTGAGCTCTAGAGTCCGCGAGCCACAACTACTGAGCCCGCATGCCACAGCTACTGAAGCCCACACGCCTAGAGCCCGTGCTCCACGACAGAAGCCACCGCAATGAGAAGTCCGCACACCACGATGAAGAGTAGCCCCCACTCACCGCAACTAGAGAAAGCCCGCATGCAGCAACGAAGACCCAACACAGCCAAAAATAAATAAAATAAATAAATTTATAAAAAAAAAAAGAACTGAATTTGCCATTTTATTACTGTGATCAAATCTAGTGTACTTGATGTTAAAGAAATGGAAATTTAGTTAAATTTCTAAAATACATTATATAATAAAAATCATGTCTGGATCCAGAAACATCAAAAGTCTTTTTACTAAAGTAATGAAAATATACCTTTACTGCCAAATTTTATATCTTCCTGAATATATGTCTGACTTAATAGGCATTTAATGGTGACTTTAAATAACCATGTTGCTATTTCTCTCCTTTCCCCCAACCTCCTACCACCCAAAAGTTCCAATGGTTTTCATGATTTTCTAGGTAATGATATTTTGGTAATAAGCAATGACAAGCTCCCACGTCTAACTCTCTGATATTTAAAAAACTTGTAATTGTCCAAGTGCAATCCTAGGCCAAGGGGAGTGAAATGTACACAGTTGCCAATGACTGATATCTTGACTTTGAGGGAGATTATTTTGGGAACAAACAAATTAGGTTAAAATGGACTGTGCTCCTGAATTGCTTTGCTATTCCTTAAAAGGGTGTTTGTAAATAGGTGTACTTATAGTACGTTTTGTTTATCAAGGTGGTGGTCAAAACTAGAGAAGGGTTTGAAATTCCTAACCACTGGAAATTATAGAAAAGCGAATTACAAGTTTGGACAGCTTTTTTTTTTTTTCTCTAAGCCTCAGTTTCCTCATCGGTAAAATGGAGATAATACCAACTTTCATGGAGTTGCTGTGAGGGCTGACATAATAATGTATGTATAGTGTAGTATGTGCTCAATATGTAATAGAAAATCAGTGATGCTCATTTTAATTACTTGAAAAGACAAAATATTTCTAAAGCACTTGTCATTACTGTATATCACTTTTCTAAACAAAGAAGACTGAGTCTGTTTTCTTGGTGCACTGAAAGGGGCAAGTGGCTGTACTTGTCAAATAATCCAGTACAGAATTGAGGTGACAGGCCTTAGATGTATTATCAGATGCTATTTCTTTTTCAATGTCTTTTTATAGGACAGAGGTTTGGGGAAAATTAATATATTGCCTCGTTATGAAATGGAACACCAATGGAAGATATTTAATAACAGGGGAAACTGAGCAGGGGGAATATATGAGAACTCTGTACTTTCTACTCAATTTTTCTATAAGCCTAAAACTGCTCAAAAAGTCTGTCAATTTAAGACAACTGCATCCTAAATATTGTTCACTTGCCTACTCCTTCATTTGGTTTACTATTTCAGGAATATAAGTTACAAAACAGGGAGATGGAAATAGTCATCCGCAATGTGGTCATTGAAGAACACGGTTTAGGAACCATAACTTTCCTAAAACTGTAAATGTCCTCTCTGGTATGATGTCAGCCACCATGCTACCTTCTTACATATTCTATACCTTACTGAGGAAAACAGTATCACCATGTAGACACTAAAATGTGTGAAAGTATTTATGCATCCCTTTAATTGAAGTATTTTGTTCTTACTTGGAATTGGGTGAAAAAATTGATCTCGTTGGTTGTCCTCATTGATGGTTGCATTTATAGCTGTTAAAACAATAAATTGGTGTTATGGTAAACAAACTTCACTTACTTTTGTGTGTGTATATGTGTGTGTGTATACAGCTTATTCTCATTGTTCGTGGTAGTCATGGTAGTTAAGCTATGTGAGCACTGAATTAGTGAATACTGAACCATCATTGTTCCTAAGGGAAATACAGGGTTAGGTTCCTGTGAGCCTCTGGTCACTACATTTTCATCAACCAATCAATATCTAACCTTGTTTTATGTGTGTGTTTCTGCTTAGAGACACTTTATTTAGTATATACTGCTGATTCATCAACATTGAGCTCACAATCAACAGCATTATAACTCACACCTACATGAAGCTTATATAATACACACACTTTCCTCCTAAGGTACATCACAGCCTTCTTGTGTTTAGGAACATTAAACAGCATTGTACTACTATACTTGGGGGGCATTTAAAATAGCAAAATCGCCAACAGAAAGCACAAAAATGCGAAACATCCAGCACTAAGTAGACCACAAAAAAGGAACTTGTTTAAAGCATGAGAGCTGAAAAAAGAAGTCCTTTGTTCTACCTCAGCTCGGAGCAAGAGCATCAGGCAATTAAATTTTTTTTGCTACTCTGTGTGTGTCCACAAATGACTGTGAAAGTTCTGCAAGTGGAGGGTTCCAGATAAATTTTAGATACAGGTAAATACACAAATACAGAATCTGCAAGTTAGGATCCATTGAATATGGTATGTATTTCACATTTATAACACATGCATATATGTGTGTGATAAATGAATTCTATTTATACATGTATGTATATATAGATGATATGCATGTTACATTTATACATGCATGCATACAAATGCTATGCATGTTACATTTATACATGCATGATTGTACATTTATGATTTATATGTTACTTTTAGGCATGCATATATTTTGATATATACTTTGCATTCATTCATGCCTCTCCATGTGCACACTGCTCCAAATACAAAGAGGGATTATATTGAGCAAGAGCCTTATTTAACATTTTTAATCATAAATTAAATGACTAGATTGCAACATTTGTAGGAAAATAAGAGTTTTGGGGAGAGAATCAGAAAATGTGTGACACTGATCAGCTTTCTGGGTTTGTTTTGCATTTGCTATTACATGTGATGATGGCAGCAAAATGTTGACTTATTAATTCTTAGTATTAGAACAATTTACACTGATCTTGGCTTTCTTACAGAAGACTTTAGAAAACCAAAACATTTTCCCAGCTACCTAACTACTATGAGTTTACCTTTAGCTAACATTGTCCAAAATGCAGGCTCATTTGGACTCTGGGTTGGTTCTGTTTAAAAAACAAAATAGAACATGATAACAAAATAAGGTAATTTGGCTTCAGTAAATTTTTGATAGAACATTCATTCGTTTGTTACTTTAGTCATCTAAAAGTTATACCTTGAGTTCCTATCATGTGCCAGACCCTGTGGTTGGCATTAAAGTTACAGAAATGAACAAGGTCTTATGCTCAAGGAACACACTCTCAATTTGGGAGACAGACAAGAATCACTGTTAATTACGTTGCAGGGTAATGAGGGCTTTCATAGAGATGCACAGGTGGTATGCACAGAGGGATCT